GAGTCATTCAAAAACAAAACATGGAGGAGAAAATATTGCAATTCATCGCAATAATTCAAGTATCGTGATGCATCGTGATAGAATTGCATCGTGGCCTGTGAATCGTGATTCGAATCGAATCGTGACTTCTTTGGCAATTCCCACCCCTAATTACAATTCATATTTTCCAAGCACACAACAGTTTAAAGCAAAGTTTAGTTTGAAAAGAATGTGCAGAAAGGATTGAAAAGCATGTTAACACAGTAATGTAGGCTTGAGTTCATTATCTGACGCATGCATATACACACCAGGAACCTGGAAACTTACTGAATTACAAAAAAAAACATTTAAAAAGACAAACATGTTTCATTGATAGATATACAAAAATGAATATTAGGAACTATATTTATCAAACATTATACTGGGCATGTAAAAATTGTTTCTGGGCAAATGAAATGCGAAAGTCACTTGCCCGAAGTGGCCGTATGATATGAATCGCACGGGTGCTTGAAACCCTTGAAAATGCTTACATTTTAGTGTTTATTAAGGTTTAAATTAATGCTTGAATTTTGAGTGTGGTGCTCTTAAATGCTTGGTATCGTAATCATATGTTTTTCAGAATAAATAGAAATCGCACTGGTGCGCCTCATGCGAGTTTTCATATGAGTGTCTTGCTAGTCTGTTGTCATGGCGACAACATTTCAGTATCGATACTGTTTTGAGTATCGATACTTTTGACCACCCTACATAGAACAATGTAATTTTTCATTTGGGAGCATAAGTGCTCTTGGTAAAGAAGCTAAGCATATAGCTTTGCTAGGTATAGATGAAAAGCCAGTCCAGGGAGAATTTATATTTGTTCTTTCTATCAGGAATGGTAAAAGTGCTCAGTTGGATCATTGCTCCAATTATTTATTTGAAACTGTGGCAAAACGGTCTTTAGTCTGGAAAATGTTCTGAATGATAATGAACGTCCGGCGGCTCTGCATCAGATCAAAGAACATTTAGCAGCAGTGATTAAACCAGCGAGCATTAATAAAACCACTAAGACTCTGATTGCTTCGTATTCGTCCTTGTTAAAGGATACAAACTCCAACTCAAAGGTGAATAAATACTGACTCACTATGTAAAATGACTACTTCCTGATTAAACTGACGTCTATAGCATCGTCTGCTATCCTGGTCAGCTATTTTATCCTATAAACGACAAAATGTTGGACATTTTTTCACTTGTGATGTATTTAATTTTGTACATACTATCAACCTGAGAAACTATAAGTACCGTATTTTCAC